GTTTTAAAAACACATGTTTAAAAAAAATATTTTCACATGCAACTGGAAAATAAGAAATACAGGAAATAAGGTACAGAAATCCATCCTGCCCTACAGGAAAATTGAAGGGGAAGGGGATAAGAGAAGGGGGGGAGAGATAGAGGGGAAGGTAGACTAGGGGAAGGGGTATTCAGAATGCATGCCATCTTGGAGTGGGGGGAGGGGCAAGATGGGGTGAAAATTTGGAACTCAAAATCTTGTTGAAGTAAATGTTGAAAACAAAAAAATAAATAAAAATTACCATAATAAATAAATTAATTAATTAAAATAAAAAAAAGAAAGTCCCCTATTTTCACTGAATGACCATTTTTTCCCCTGAAGAATTATACTCAGTTTTGCTGGGTAGGTGATTCTTGGTAGTAATCCTATCTCCTTTGCCCTCCACAACATTATATTCCATGCCCCTGGTCCCTTAATGTAGAAGCTGCTAAATCTTCTGTTATCCTGATTGTGTTGTTGTTTCTTGAATTGTTTCTTTCTGTCTGCTTGCAAAGTTTTCTCCTTGATCTGGGAACTCTGGAATTTGGCTACAATATTCCCAGGAGTTTTTCTTTGGGGATCTCTTTCAGGAGGTGATTGGTGAATTCTTTCAATTTCTATTTTGCCCTCTGGTTCTAAAATACCAGGGCAGTTTTCCTTGATAATTTCTTGAAAGATGATGTCTAGGCTATTTTTTTTGATCATGGATTTCAGACAGTCCAATAATTTTTAAATTATTTCTCCTGGATCTATTTTCCAGGTCAGTTGTTTTTCCAGTGAGATATTTCACATTGTTTTCTATTTTTTTCCCTTTTTTTGGATTTGTTTTACAGTGTCTGGATTTCTCAAAAAGTCACTAACTTCCAATTGCTTCATTTTAATTTTTAAGGAAGTATTTTCTTCAGTAAGCTTTTGGACTTCCTTTTCCATTTGGCCAATTTTGCTTTTTTAGGGCATTCTTCTCCTCATTGGCTTTTGGGACCTCTTTTGTCATTTGGGTTAGACTATTTTTTAAGGTGTTATTTTCTTCAGTATTTTTTTGGGTCTCCTTTAATAAGCTGTTGACTTGTTTTTCATGGTTTTCTTGCATTACTCTTATTTCTCTTCCCAGTTTTTTCTACTTCTTTTACTTGCTTCCCAAAATTCTTTTTGAGCTCTTCCATGGCCTGGGATCAATTCATATTTTTCTTGGAGGACTTGGATGTAGGAGCTTTGACTTTGTTGTCTTTTTCTGGTTGTATGGTTTGATCTTCTTTGACACCAAAGTAAGATTCTGTGGTCTGATTCTTTTTGTGCTGCTTGCTCATGATCTTAGCCAATTACTTGAGTTATAAGCTATTTGTTAAGGTAGGGGTCTGCTTCCAGTGTGGAGAATGTATTGTCCCAAGCTTCAGGGTGTTTTGTGCAGCTATTTTCAGAGATACTTCTAGGGACCTGTAAATTTTTAGTTCTTCCAAAGTGCTACGGTCAAAGGCAAGGTGTTTATTCCTTTCCTGGTCTATGTACTCTGGTCTATGAGTGACCACAAGCACTATTTTCTATATTGAAACTGTGAGGGGGATTCCTCTCCACTGCCACTACAAGCTCTACCCTGCTAGCACTCCTCCTCACCCCAGGACTGACACCCAGAACTGTGACCCAGATCCAAGCAGGGCAAAGCAAGAGAATCCTTCATCAGTGGAGAGATACCTGCAACTCCCCTCTCATTAACCACTAGATTCTCCCTCAGTCTGTGGGCCAAAAGCTCTGGAAGCAGCCACTACCCCAGGGCCAAGCTCAGAGATGGGCTGGGACTGAGCTTCTCTCTCACCGAGGTCACAGACTTTTCCTGCTGACCTTCTAAGTTGTCTTTGGTGTTTGTGAGTTAAGAAATCTGGAAACTCCCACAGCTGCCCATGATTCAGTCCTCTGAGGCCTGCTCCTGGTTCACTGAGGCCTGCCTTGCCTGAGTACCCATGCCAAACTGTGCTTCTCTCCCCACCCAGTGTGATATATTTTTCCAATCAATCATCCAGGCTGTCTTGGGCTATAAATGAGTTTCATTCTGTCTTTTTGTGGATTCTGCTGCTTTAGAATTTGTTTAGAGACATTTTTTATAGGTATTTGAAGGGGTTTGGGGGAGAGCTCAAGCAAGTCACTGCTTTTACTCTGCAATCTTTTCTCTGCCCCAGGGGAACATTAAAAAAAAAAAAATATATATATATATATATATATATATGTATTGTCTTCCCATGTAGGGATGTAAACAGTTCAGCTCCATTGAATCCTTTGTGTTTTCTTTTCCTTTTTAGATTTTCCCTGATTTTTGATATTGGAGATCAAAATTTTTGTTCAATTCTGGTCTTCTCCTTGCCAAAGCTTGAAATCCTTCTATTTCATTGAATTGCCATTTTACTGGATAGGTGATTCTTGGTTATAGTCCTAGCTCCTTTGTCTTCTGGAATATCATGTGCCATGACCTCTGATCCTTCAATTTGCAGCTGCTGAGTCCTGTGTAATCCAGATTGTGGCTTCACAATATTTGAATTATTTCTTTCTGGCTACTTGCAATATTTTTTCTTTGGCCTAATAATTCTGAAATTTGGCTGCAATGTTCCTTGGAATTTTTAATTTTAGGACCTCTTTCAGGAGGTGATTGGTGGATTCTTTCAATGCCTATTTTGCCCTCTGATTCCCGGATATTGGGGCACTTTTCTTTGATAATTTTTTGAAAGATGCTGGCTAGGTCCTCCTTTGGATTATGACTTTGAGGTAGTCCGGTGATTCTGACATTGTCTGACCTGGATGTGTTTTCCAGGTAATTTTTTTTTTCCAATGAGGTAATTTATATTTTCTTCTATTTTTTTTCATTCTTTTGAATTTGTTTGAATGATTCTTGATGTCTCATAGAGTCATTAGCTATTAGTTTCCACTTGCCCAATTCTAACTTTGAAGGAGTTGTTTTCCTCAATTAGCTTTTGTACCTCCTTTTCCATTTGGCCAATTGTACTTTTTAAAACATTTTTTTTTCCAGTGGATTTTTGTATCTCCTTTTTCATTTGGCCAATTCTGCCTTTTAAGTAGTTGTTTTCTTTTTCTAAGCTGTTGATTCTTTTCATAATTCTCTTTCATCACTCTCATTTCTTTCCCCAATTTTTCTTCTACCTCTCTTGCATGATTTTTAAGCTCCCTTTTGAGCTCTTCCATAAGTACTTTCTGAGTTCAAGACCACTCCCCATTTTTCTTTGGGGCTTTGCCCATGGGTGTTTTAACATTGTTGTCCTCTTCTGAATTTGTGTCTTGATCTTCCCTCTTACCATAATAACTTTCTGTGGTCAGATTCTTCTTTTTTTTTTAGATTCTTTCTTTTTGTTTGTTTGCTCATATTTTTTGGCCTTTTTCCTTTCTTTTAAATTTGAATTCTGCTTCTGGGGTGGAAGAGGCACTGTCTCAGGCTTCTTGTGTCAGGGGCTGCAAGCCCTAGTTGTTTACCTGATGTTGCACTGATATTCCCCTGAAGCCCATGGGGCAACCTCATGTCTGGTGCTGTGCTTTGGGTGGGGGTTGGGGGTGGTGCTGCTGGAGGCCACAGGGGTCTGGCAGCTTACCTGGTGTGAGTCCAGGTCCTAGGGTTAGTGTTTGCCATGTGCTGAGGCCAGTGGGATGTTTATGTGTTTCCCTAGGGCTACACTGAGTCACATGGTGGTTTGGCCCTAGAGTTTTCTGCCCAGGGTTATGCAGAAGCACATGATAGAGGCCTGTGTGGCCCTGTAGGGTTGGCATCTACCCGTTTGCTTATGGCTATGCTGAAGCAATTGGCATTTCCTAGAACTGGAGTCTGCCTGTTTCCCTGGCTATTCTGAGGCATGGGCAGATTCTGGTGTTGGTGTTTGCATGCGCCACTACACTAGGGTTCAGGATTGCTGCTGGTTTGCTAAGGTGGGGCTTGATAGGATGCTTCCTGTCCTAGACTGTGCTCCCCTCTTACCAAGTGAGACATATCTGTCCTGCTTATCTTCCGAATTTCTTGGGCTAAAAGATTGTTTCACCCCATCGTTTTGGTGATTCTACTGTTCCAGGATTTATTTTGGAGCACTATATCACGGTTGTTTGGAGGTAAATATGAGAAAATTACAGTGATTTACTGCTTATTCCTCCATCTAGGCTCTCAGAAGTCTGTGTATCCTTCAACCATTTGTCATTCTTATATGTTTGACTCAGTTCTATGTATATTTGAGTAATGAGGCTTTTATAAGAAAAACTTGCTAACCCCCAAAAAACTTTTTTTCTGCTTCTTTTCTAATCTTGGCCGTATCAATTTTGTTTGTACAAAACCTTTTGAATTTAATGTGATCAAAATTATTGATTTTATATCCCATAATGCTCTCTATATCTAGTTTGTTCATAAATTCTTCCCTTATCCATAGACAAGACGGGTAAACTATTCCATGCTCCCTTAATTTGCTTATTATATCACTCTTTATTTCTAAATCATGGACACATTTTGACCTTATCTTGGTCTATGGCATGAGATTATTGGTCTATACATAGTCTCTATCAAATTACTTTACAGTTTCTTTAACAATTTTGGTCAAATAGTGAGAAGCTTGGATCTTTGTGTTTATTAAACACTAGATTAGTAAGGTCATTTACTACTGTGTATTTTGTACCTAATCTATCCCCTGATTTACCATTCTATTTCTTAGCCAATATCAGATTGTTTTGATGATTACCACTTATAATAAAGTTTGAGATCTGGTACTGCTAGGCCACCTTCCTTCACACATTTTTCTTTGATTCCTTGATAATCTTTGCCTTTTGTTGTTCCAGATGATTTCCCTTGATATTCTTGGCCTTTTGTTCTTCCAGAGAAATGTTGTTATTAGCCCTTTAAAACATTTTTGGTAGTTTGATTGATATGACACTGAAAAAGGAAATTAATTTAGGTAAAATTCTCAATTTTATTATATTGACTCAGCCTACCCATGAGCAATCAATATGAAAAATAAATGGAACAATTCACAAGTTTGCATGTCATCCTTGCTCAGGGACCATCTTAATCTTCTCTATCCTTCCAATTTTACTATATATGCTGCTGAACCAAGCCCAGGTTGCTTATTTCTGAGATGTAAATTTTCACATTCAAAATAAAGCAATCACTTCACTTGAGGTGATGAAAACTGGTTCAGCAGATGCCTACCAAGGACTGTTCTCACTTTTGTATTTCTATCCTCAGTGATTAGCTCAATGCCTGGCAAAAGTTTTGAACAAATACTTTTTTATTCATTCATTCATTTGTTCATTCATTCATTTATTCTAGCCTATTCATTTTTCAGATGCAGATCTGGCAACGGAAATAATTTGTTTAATATCACTCACTTTTATGGTGGTAAAACTAGAATCCGAAGCCATTGCCCCAATTTTATTGGCCAATGGTTTTTTTTTACTCAATGAAAATAAATGACTCTTGCCTGAAAATATTCTTGAACAATGTTAAAATTACAATTTCAGAAATTATGAAATTTTTTTGAGGAAAAGGCCTTGAAATACTGTTATACTTATTATCAAAATTATAAGCAATATGACATACTGCAAAATAATCCCACTGGTCATTGGCATTAAATTGCATGTCACTGAAATTCTCAACAAATCAGTTTTCTTATCTATAAAATTGGGGGGGGGGGGATTTCAGTTAATCAGTCAATCAATGCATACACATTTATTAAACATCTACCATGTTCCAGGCACTGTGATAAGTACTGGGAATACAAACAGAGGTAAAAGACAGTCCTCATCCTCAAGGAGTTTACAGTCTAATGGAGGAGATGATATGAAACTGAATGTATACAAACAAACTAGATACTGGATAAAAAGGATATAATTAATTGAGGGAAAGCACTGGAATTAAGTGGGGCAACAGATTGGATGTGGGGTGTGAGAGACAGTGATGGTACAGGATGATTCCTAGGCTATGAGACTGAGGTATTTCATGTTTTGTTTTGCTTTGTTTTTTTTTTTCTGTAATCCCTCCCCCAACTCTACCTAACATCCTGTGTTCTCTAAAATAAGACAGGAGAATGAAACAAAAGTGACACAGATATTACAGTCATGGTAGAAATGCATGAAGGAAAGCCATAGAAATCCAGTCTTGTTCATACTCTAGTTCCCCACCCAATCAATTCCTATTGCAATATTCAGTTTTTGTCCCCAGAAGGAAAAAAAAATCATCTGTTTAAGATTCCACAACCCTGTGGACCAGATACTGAAACTAATATTGTCATTCACAAGTCCTTACCAGTGTCCTTACCAATATAAGGTTACCAATTGACATTTCTCCAATACCAATTAGCCAATCAATGTAAATTAGCTTTCACAAAAGGCTATTTACTATGGTATAACTAGGACAGAAATGAAACCACATTCTCCCTAATCCAGTAGGCACACTATCCTCTCTATAGACCTGCTTGGTCCCTGAAAAGATTGGATTCTAATTAAAGTCATTTCTATGGATTCATACACACTTACACTTGACAGGGAAATGGGGCACTTCCTGGTAGAGAATTTTTCTCCTTTTTTAGAGATTCCATCAAGTTCACTTCTTGGTTTGATGTAACTATTAGATGAGTTATTTACTTGCTTAGACAGTCTGATTCATTGCAGGTTTTTTCAAAGGGCTATTTTATTTCATCAGCCTTGACTGCTGTTGCCCTGGCTCTGGCATTCTGATTGTTGGTAGGATCTTGATTTATTTTAATAAATCCACAGGTCTTTACAGTCACCTGGGTGCCCACTTCTTGGCACAATTTTTCAGCTAGCATCACAAAAGAAGAAACACAGCAGGAACAGAAGCTCCCTGTGTCCATAGATATATAGTGGTGAGTAAAGGGGAAAAAAGTAACTATTGTCCCTTTCCTAATGCAGAGGCATTTAGCAATTCTTCTTGCATAGAATCTCCAAGGGAAGAAAGCAAGAAATCACTTTCTTGAAACTTTGGCATGCATATTCAACTCTGGCTCAGCAGACAATTAAAATATCCTCCCCCTCTCCCACTGTTTATCAGTACACTGACAGGAGATAGTCAGAGGATACTTACATCTTTTCTGAAGAACCAAAGGTAGCTTTATGCTTCAAAGAAGTCTTACAGAGGAATTTGTATTAGCAAGTAAGGTGGAGGCTTAATTTGGACTGAATAAATTTGGCAAATTTTGTTTAAGTTTAAGAACATTTGGAAAATAATTTCCAGTTCCAAAAAATGTAGCTCAGACACCACTTATTGGTTATAAGAGAAGGAAATTTGAGTAGGATATTCAAGAAGTACAGACAATTAAAGGAAGTCTGAGAGAAAAACCTAAGATGGTAGATTCAAGAAGGTTAAGGAGTGGATAGCTGACTAGACAACATTAGGTAAGAAATAAAAGGCAAGAGGGCAAAATAGAGTGTTAAGCACTTTGATAGAGTGATTTGGACCATGAGGACAGTTGTGGAACTGAACAGTACATTTCTTTAAGGCTGAAGGGAAAAGAAGAGTGATTGTAACTGGAGAGTATTTGAGGAAACAGAAAAGGATTTTAGTGGGGATATAAATTTGTTAAGAAAGGATAATTGACTATAAAAATTGTAACCAGGTATTTGGTGTTGAGATGTAAATATGCACAAATAATTTCAAGAAACATGAATGTTAAACATTAGGGAGAGTAGAGTTAAGTTCTGAGTGACTTGAGTGAAGATTGAGATGTGGATTTTTTTTTTCAAAAGATGAGTGATATTTACATTTTCCCAGAGAAGGCTAATTTACAAGATGAAGGGCCTGAAACAGTATCTCTCCACACTACTGGTTTTTAGACAGAATTAAGGAACTCCAAAAGAAAGAGAAGCAAGGATTTAAAACAACAACAACAACAACAACAATACTAATCAAAACAGGGGGAGCAGAGTCAAGATGGTGGAGTAAAAGCAGTGACTTGCTTGAGCTCTCCCCCAAACCCCTCCAAACACTTGTAAAAAAATGGCTCTAAACAAATTCTAGGGCAACAGAACCCACAAAAAGACAGAGTGAAACAATTTTACAGCCCAAGACAACCTGAATGATATACAAGAAAGGTCTTTTGTGCTGAGGTGGGCTGCACCGGCAAAGACAGAGGCCCAGCAAACCTGGAGCAGGCATCAGGAGACTAAATCAAGGGGAGGTGTGGCAATTTCCAGATTTCTCAGCCCACAAACACAAAAGACAATTAAAAAGATTAGTAAGAAAGGTCTGTCAGACCTGGATGAGAGAGGAGATCAATCCAGCCCTGACTCTCATGCAGCTCCAGGAAGGTGGCCACAGTGGCAGTGGCTTCTTCTGGAGCTCTCAGCCCACAAACAGTGGAAGGATCAAGCAGCTGATCAAAGGGTAACTGTAAGGATCTCTTTGCTAGTGCTGAGGAAGGATTCCCTTGCTTTGCCTGTGCTTGGATCTGGGTCATAGTCTTGAGTGGCAGTCCTGGGGTGAGGAGGAGTGCTAGTGTGGCAGACCTTGTGGCAACAGTGGAGAGGGAATTTTCCTCACAGTTCCAAGGAAGAAAAGAGTGCTCATAGACCAGAGCACAGACCAGGAAAGGAGTAAACACCTCTCCTTTAGTCATACCACCTAGGAAGAACTGATAATTTACAGGTCCCTAAAAATATCTCTAAAAACAGCTGCACAAAACCCACGAAGCTAGAGAAAGTACACCCTCCACAATGGAAACAGAGCCTACCTTAACAAAGAGTTAAAAAAGTCAATTAAGATGAAAAACCAGAGGAAAAAAATCTCAGAGTATAAAATCTTACTTTGTTGACAAGGAAGATCAAAACATACAACCAACATACAACCAAAAGAAAACAACAAAGTCAAAGCTCCTACATCCAAAGCTCCCAAGAAAAATATGAATTTATCTCAGGCCATGGAAGAGCTCAGAAATAATTTTGGAAACCAAGTAAAAGAAATAGAGGAAAAATTGGGAAGACAAATGAGAACAATGAAAGAAAATCATGAAAAATAAGTCAACAGCCTGCTAAAGGAGAACCAAAAAAATGCTGAATAAAATAAACTAACCCAAATGTCAAAAGAGGTCCAAAAAGCCAACGAGGAAAAGAATGCCTTAAATGGCAAAATTGGCCAAGTAAAAAAGGAAGTCCAAAAGATCACTGAGGAAAATAATTCCTTAAAAAATAAAATTGAGTAAATGGAAGCTAATGAATCTATCAGAAATCAAGAAATTATAAAACAAAACCAAAAACAATGAAAAAAATAGAAGACAATGTGAAATATCCCATTGGAAAAACAACTGACCTGGAAAATAGATCAGGAAGAGATAACTTAAAAATTGTTGGACTACCTAAAGCCATGATCAAAAAAAGAGCATAGACATCATCTTTCAAAACATTATCAAGGAAAACTGCCCTGATATTCTAGAACCAGAGGATAAAATAAAAATTGAAAGAATCCACTGATCACCTCCTGAAAGAGATCCCAAATGGAAAACTCCAAGGAATTTTATAGTCAAATTCTTCAGTTCCCAGATCAAGGAGAAAATATTGCAAGCAGCCAAAAAGAAACAATTCAAGTATTGTGAAAACACAATCAGGATAACACAAGATTTGGCAGGTTCTACATTAAGGGACCAGAAGGCTTGGAGTATAATATTCTGGAGATCAAAGGAGATAGGTTTACAGCCAACAATCACCTACTCCCACAAAACTGAGTATAATCAATGAGGGGGAAAATTACATTCGATGACATAGAGGAATTTTATACATTCTTGAGAATCCATTCTTGAGAAAAAAAATGACTTTTAAATACAAGACTGAAGAGAAGCATGAAAAGGCAAACAGAAAGAGAAATCATAAGTGACTTATCAAAGTTGAACTGTTCACATTCCTACATGGGAAGATGATATTTGTAAGTCATGAGACCTTTCTCATTATTAAGGTAGTAGGAGGATATACATACATACATACATACATACATATACATATATTTGTATACACATACATACATACACAGACATACATACAGAGGGCAGAAGGTGAGTTGAATATGAAGGCATGATATCTAGAAAAAGAAAATTAAAGGGTGAGAGAGGAA